CTCACCTTGACAGCCTCGATTAAAAAAAGTGGGTCATATTTTCGAGTTCCCGAGGTGGCAGTAGAAAAAGTGGCAGTCTAGTGTATCATCAATCACTAACGTCGGCCGAACAAATAAAATTAAAAAAAAAACGTCTTTGCATACGGTAACCTGACCTAACCAGAACGAGTTTTGAGGAGCCCAGAGCCAGCGCCTGTCGCACTATCCCCCCTCTTTTTTTTTAATAATCACGAATTCTTGCCTTTTTTTTCTATTTTTTTGCTTTCGTCCTCAGCGACGACTTTGCGGGGCTGACTCTCTCCGGAAGCGCTTTCCTATCTGCCGGCAACCCTTTTTGGCACTTTATTTTTCCTTTCTTTTCGTTTTTCTTTGTTGCCCTCGACCGTTCACTCGAGCGAACGGAACCTGTTTACAAGGAGGCGTTCTCCTCCGGTGATTACATTTTGAGAAACGTCTCGTCTTGCCTGTACGAAACACATTCTTCCTCGTCTCTTTTATCTGCATCGTCATTGTGCTCGTGTATCTCGCCCGTACTGTCGCCTTTGTTATTGCGTCCATTTATTTATATTTGCCTCTCATGAACCTTCCTTTTTTTCGTAGCCATTCGAGCGATGTCACCAACGACTGCACTCCCGTTTTTCGTCAATTCGGTGCAACATTGTTGAAGCTACGAAGCGCGTTGAGCCATCGGAATAGGATAACCGGTGTTGAAAATGACGTCTTGCTCACTGTCAGCAGCTAAGCCTTCCACGTGTGTCACCGGCTAATACAATAATCAATGTTGAGTTTTGATGTCCCGGAACCACGATATGATTACAAGGATTGCCGTAGTGGAGGTTTCTAAAGAAATTTAACCACCTTGGTGTTTTTTTTATTTGTTTGTTATACAATACAAAGGATCATCAGACTGCTTAGACCCGTAGCCAATGGCTAGTCCTCGGTCAAAAATAAAATGTATGCAGTGATGCAGGCTTTCTGTTACTTTAAAAAGAAACTAACACTCCAAAACACAGGGTGTTATACAGTACTAGTACAAGCTTTTTTTGGCATGCGATCTTCGTGTCCAATGACAATAAAATATATAATCGCGATAGTGTCAAAAAATGCACCAACGCAGGCAAATCACTAAAGTGTACATAACATAACGTGCACATAAACAACGTTCTCTAATGTGCACCTGAATCTAAACACACTGGCCTCCATCGTTTTGTATCCATGAAAATATGTTTCGCTGTGGCCGGAATTTGATCACGTGACCTGCAGGTTGCACAAGACCACCACTGCTCGTGTGTTATTGGTTGAATGGAAGGATCACCGAACGAACTGTTTCGTAGAATACGAGAGGTCAGCCATATTTTAAAAAAAAACGCACGCGCCTTAAGGCGCACGTTCGTGATTTCGTCATTCCGCTTGAATCACGCGCTCGTTTACTTCTCTGCAGGGACAGATTATTTTTGTTATGCATCGCTTTTATCGGAGGCGAGAGGCCGTTGATACCAACCTACACTTCGTAAATTACTATACAGGGTCTGTCAAAAGGCCTGCGAATTCATATAAAAAAGCGACGAAGAAAAGTCAGCATTTCTTTGCCACCTTCCCAATTTTTTCAGACGAATCTAATTGTCGCACGCGTGTAGTTTTTTTTTTTTTTTCATGCTTAAAAGAGTTGCGCGATAAATTCGGTACGTTTGCGTGCCCAAAGTCGCGGGTTGAATCCTGGAGGCGGTCGCACTTCAATCTAAGCAGTGCTGAAGGCCCATGTACTGTATTGATGTCAGGGCACTTTAGAAAAGTACTGGATGGAAGATATTTCCGGAGCCCATCATTACGCTGTGGCTGATAATAATATCGGGGACACTTGGAACGTAAAATAGCACACATTATGAAGGAAAAGTGAAGATAATTCAATATTCTGGCTTAGGTTGACTGATCACGGTGTCCAATATTGGCCAAGGTTAATGCAAGGTAATGCATGGCTGATGGTAATGCAAGCAAATTTATTAGCTTAATATGCAGATAAGAAAGTTCTTCGCTGAAGGAAATGGTTGAGCTCGGTCAGCAGCTGCCATCTACATCAACGCACCCCGTGGGTAGAACATACGGGCATCGTCGTTTTTGAAATTTGTGGCCTAACGTTCGAACATTTAAGCCTACAACTGGACGCGGAAAAAAAAATTTACCTTTGCATTCGCTGCGCCGATTTTATGAAACGATTGTGCGTCGACTACTCCCATAGTTTCGTTTTCCTTTTTCTGATGTTCTGCTGTACCTATTTTTTTTATATTTCTCTCTCTCCTCACTTTTTTCGAGTACCCTCAGAATTTTTGTCCTTTTAATGGGTCCTTCTCGCGCTGAACGAGACTCAGTGAGTGGCGACGAAAGAAGAAGAAAGAAAGGAAGAAAGGCGGAAAGAAAGAAAGAAAGAAAGAAAGAAAGAAAGAAAGAGAGAAAGAAAGAAAGAAAGAAAGAAAGAAAGAAAGAAAGAAAGAAAGAAAGAAAGAAAGAAAGAAAGAAAGAAAGAAAGAAAGAAAGAAAGAAAGAAAGAAAGAAAGAGACTACGTGAGTCACAGATTGCACATGATTGAGAGAGGGAGATAAGCCCACACATACATAGACGTAGAGACAGAGAGGTACACACGATATAAAGAAAGAGAGAGAGAGAGCAACAGAAGTGTACACAGACATAGAGAGAGGGTGGTAAGAAGGAAACGTGCGTAAGTGAACGGACCAACGCAAACGTCTCCAGTACCGGAGCATTCCTGCTCCGCTGTACGGCGGTGCCGACGACATCGGGCCTCGCGCTCGCTTGACTCACAATGTGCTTGTCATGTTCAGCAGGCGCTCGCTTTGCTCGGCCTCTCTCACTCGACGTGTTCTTTCACGCGCTCTGACTCGCTCGCAAACCCTTGTCATCTGCTCTGTCCTCGTCGTCACTGGCCGGAAACGATTTCTCCGGGAGACGCTCCTTTCCACTCCGCGCGCCGTCGTTTTCTTTTCACTGCAGCGTGTTCGTTCCGTCGCTTGCTGCTGCTGCTGTTAGTAGAGGAGAGTGAAAAAAAGAAAACAAGAAAGTTCTGAGTGGAGGACATGCTTTTTCACGCGGAAGGAAATCTCGAGGAGCATCTGTTTGTTCCGGCCTTGCGTGCTTGTGTGTGTGTTCTTTCGCGCTATAGCTTCCGGACCTCTTTTCTTGTTTGTCGTGCGCGCGTGCGTGAACACGTGCCTTCCGTGCGCGTGTTTAAACAAGCGTACCGAAACAAAAGGAGGCAAGAGTTGGTGAAAGGGTGTGTGGAAATAGAAACAGCGGGGGAGAGGAAGGTGGACGAAAGAGTTTGTGTTTCTGTGAGCACCAATATCGCGCTCCTTTGTTCTTTCTGTAATTTTTTTTTCGTTTTCCGCTTGAGAGCTCGCCATTGTTCTGTTTCTACGCACCCGGAGGGCCCTTCGCAAACGTACAGCGCTGATGCGGTTATTTTGATTGATTGGATCTGTTTGTTGTTTTTTCTTGTTTCTACCGTCCGCTTTGTTGTCGTCTAGTTCGAAGTCATTTGCATCAATCGCGACCTATTCAACCTTCCGGCACTCCTGCTTCACCTCGTGACCTCGATGCGTTATACACAGATGGGATCAAGATTGGGCTCCGCGGCGCCTTCCTTTGCACCATACTTCTTTCTCTATATATTATTTTTTTACTTATCTGCCCGACTTGTTGCTCGTGACCCGCGAGGACTCTTTGTCCTTGCTTGTTTAAGCGTTGTCTTCCATAAAAGGAGGAGCTGTTGGTGTGTGTGTGTGTGTGTGTGTGTGTGTGTGTGTGTGTGTGTGTGTGTGTGTGTGTGTGTGTGTGTGTGTGTGTGTGTGTGTGTGTGTGTGCATGTGCGTGTGTGTGCGTGCGTGTGTGTGTGTGCGTGTGTGTGTGTGTGTGTGTGTGTGTGTGTGTGTGTGTGTGTGTGTGTGTGTGTGTGTGTGTGAGTTTGAGAGGAAGGAAGCACGAGATGATTGAACGGTGTGGAGAGGGAGACATGGGAGGGCAACAGAGAGGAGGAGGGTTAAATATAGGCAGCGAGGTTAATCAGTGCTAAGCCCGGTGAGCGATACACTGCACTGGCAAAGGGGAAGAAAAGCTAGTAAGAAGAATATGAAGATTATTGTTGCTTTTGATGTAGCATCTTAGCGCTTGACATCACAAGCTAACCTTAAGGCCAGTATCATTAAAGAGGCCCTGACAATCTAAGGAGTGATCTAATTACTCCACTAAAGGAGCTTGTTTCCTCGAGAATTGACTGCCGCAGAAATTTTCAGAATCCAAAGTACGAGTGTTGTTAACAAGAATTTACTGCACGCTCAAAGCGCTTTATCTTTCCTTTAGTACTAGCGAGCATACTAAAAGCTACGCAGGGAGCAGGATGACGACGGGCCAAGGGGATATCCCTACGTCAGCGTGCGTCATGAGCATGGACACTTTTCTTTCTTTCCTTTTTTTTCTTGAAACTTGCCGCTTACTTTCGGCAGAGCCATTCGATACTTTGATCTAATTAATGACTCGGCTTGATATATTGATGAAGCATTGAATGACTCTGATTTCAATATGGTCGCAAGCGTGCGCACAAGCACGTGGTGGCATCTTGCGGCGGCCACGGTAACTACGGTGCTCACGATGATGAAATTAGCCAATGGCTTTAGATTTCGGTATATGACACCAGTTCTAGAGATAAGAGAGAGCGAAATCCAGATCACTTTGGTGATTATTTGTAAACTCTATAGGCCTCGTGTGACGTTATAATGTGTGACTTGCACATTTCAGTTTGGCGCATATTGATTTTTTTGCGGTTGGCGTCCTCGTCTTTTTTTTTTATAAAGTATATGGACTTCGCCTTTGAGTATCTTTTTTTTTTTTAGTTTCAGTCGAATACATAAGGGTTCTTCTCTATGGGGGTCTTTTTCTTGGGGAGTGGAGGTGGGGCTTAAAGTTGGCGTTACTATATCCCCTTTTCTTGCAGGACCGACGGGCCTTCGTGATCCGCGCGCTGGACAAGTTCGCGCGTGTGGACGCTCCCGACGACAGCCGGCTTGGACTGGTGGCGTTCGGCCAAGTGGAGCCGTCCGTGCGGTTCCCGCTCACCATCATGAACAACTCGAACACCCGCGCCAAGCTGGTGCAGAGGCTACCGGCTCCGAACTCGAAGTTCAACTCGTCGCTCGAGGACGGACTCTCCAGGGCGCTGCAGGTGAGAAGAAAGGGGCGCTCTAGGCGGGAACTTGTGTTTGTACTACTGCGCCGTATATTCACAGTGCGGCACCCTGCACACACCACTTCGCTAAACAAGAAGCTTTTCCAACAGTGTAGTTGTCCTTGGCGTGTCTGTTCTCAGGTCCTCTATAAGTAAAGGTTAATATCAAGTTTTTACGAATGCTGTCAGTAGTGACGTGCTGACATCATCCAATGCAGGAATGTCCTATGTTTAGAGTATTTTCAACTGGACGCATACTAATAAGAGTAAACGATCCCCTGATATAAATCGGCACACCACAGTACACACAGATGCAAGACTGAAACAAAATTGGCCCCGTATCTGCATGTGGTCTGCAAATATCGTCGAAAGACGATAGTCTTGCGTGTGGAGAGCGTGAATAATTTATTTGATGTTCGGCGCATGAAAATCGGTGAATGGTATTTTGGAGGCGCTGCGTTAGAGTGCCTCGAGCATACAGTGGAGGCGAACGAACGAATCAAGGCACGTCACACGTGAGACATGAGCACCACCTGGCAGTGTTCTTGGAAAACGACGCATGTGCTACTGAGACGAGTGTGCACGCCCGTCTCAGAGGTGATAAGGTGTAGAACGCAAGGCGACTGATAGGTGCCACCACCATCGCGTCTTAGCAAAGCGTTGGAAACACTCACCTTTTTCGTGCAAGCGTTGCACGGTCAGCACAGCGTGATTGGCGCTATGGTCCTTAAAATTACTTATGTATGCCTTTTCTAGTAAAAGATGCACATGCAGAATATATACGTGTTGTTGTGGTGCCCCAGACTTGCGCAATGATCGCTTATTAATTGACAATTGCACAAGTATGAACGCTAACTCCTGAGCAACATTGGTGGGCGCTGCGGATAGGGTCGGCCGTTTCAAGTACCCGGTGCCGTAAGAGTGGACAAACAGACAAATGTACAGACAGACAGACAGACAGACAGACAGACAGACAGACAGACAGATCAAAATGTTTGCGTCGAAGGTCCCCAAGAAAGACTATCGTCTTTAAAATCCGCACTATACGTATGCTACACCGAGTCATGTACGAGGTATGGTTAGGATGAAGCCACAATGCGGTCAGACGTGAACCGTCTTATTACGGTTTGTGTCGCGTTTGCGCTGAGGTGCCCACGGATTGAATCCGCTATCTCCGCAGCCAACATTTTCCCCGGCGCGAGTACTTCTGTTTGGACTATGAGGTCCGTAATCTTAGCTTCTTTTTTTTTTATCTTCGAAGTGTCTTTGATTAAAGCTGTCCGAGCAGGAAACGTCTGAGAACGATTGATAACGCGTGGGCGAGACAGGACCGGGAGTGAGAATGTCTGCCTGTTGTGCCGCGATATGTCCTTATTTACATGAGAAAGCGTACCGCCCGTACGGCGACGCCGATACGAAGCACTAATGCTTTCGCTTAATGGGCTTAAAAGGAAGCCGCTTCCCGGCTTGTATTTAGGCTACATCAGAGCTGTAAGGAACACCGTGAACGACAAAAAAAAAGAAATAACGAACCATACAGCGTCACTTTAATCTTACAACGCGGCCCTGCCACGGGGTATACAGTGAGTGAATATTAAGATTGGGGTGCTTGTTTAATTCAGATGCTGAGCGAAGACCGCGAACTGCCTTATCCGAGCTCCAATGGCTCCGCCGCTGCCGCCGGCGGTGTGATCTTGTTGCTAAGCAACGGGGACATGGAGGCCGACGTGGCGGAACGCTTTCAGGAGTCGCTGAGGTCGTCCCAGGTACGTGTACTGCACGAAAAACGGCAAGTGATCAACGCTTGTGACCGTACATTTTATATGTGTTAACTGATATATCCGATGACAGTACTGCTATTGTTAAATTAATTAGTCAATTATTTAAGCCCCCGTGTTCACTATGAAGCCTATGCACTTTAAATGTGTGTGTCATTATTTATTTTTTTCGCGAAGTCCCCTGTCAACATTCTAAACACCTTTGTGGGTTTCTGTAGGAAAACACACTTTGGCGAAGCTTTGTACCATGGCTTAATTAATTATTAGTTATTGGGGCCATCGTACTCACAGTAGAAAAAATCTGTTTGTTTTACAAAAAAAAGTTATATTGAAAGTCATAATAATTCTTGTTGAGCTTCGGTAAAAACCAGGACTCTTCAGTACTCCTTGAACTTCACTCGGAAATTAATGAAAAAAAAAATTATTGCTTTCACAGCACTGCATTTTAAGACGATGCGAGCCACACGTCACGCATTTCCAACTACTGGAGATGGCATTATAGGGTACTTATTGAGGCATTTGATTGAATTCGATGTGATTATGCGTGCTGCCATATTACCCGTGTGAGTTCGACGTGCACTATAAGAAACGAGAGTTGGTCAAATTTATCTTAACTGTCAAACGATGTTTCATAATTATGATACCCAGAGTGCTTCGAACCTGATCAAATCCTGTTAAAAAATTGTAATTAGAAGACTAACTGAGAATATATATATAGAGAGAGAGATAAAAATGCAAGGAAAGGCAGGGAGGTTAACCAGGCGCACATCCGGTTTGCTACCCTGCACTGGGGAAGGGATAAACGGGAGAAAAGAGGTTGCAGAAAGATGAGAAGGTACACACAATCACGAGCACACTCGGGGAACACACACAGTCTACAGGCGGTCGCTCAGGTTTGTTGACTTAAGGTAAAGAAGCAGTGCTTTAGTTGCTTTCTGCGCAACTGAGGCAGATGACCCCGGACCATTTTGTGTGCAGAAGATACTAGAACTGAGAATATAAAAAAAACTGAGTTTACTGGTTGCCAGAAGATGGTGGAATAGTATTCATGGTTACGGTGCGGCCTCGTTATGATGGCGGCAAAATTCTACCGGCCCATGTGCTATGATTTAGCTGATATTTGAAGAATTCCTGGTGACCAAACTTTCCGTAGTCCTCCATCACAGCTTTCTTCAATCATATAGTGCTTTTGAGACGTAAAGCACTGTGAATTATTTTGGTGTATCATAACCATGCGCCATTTGCTCAAAGTGCACACCCTTGCAATTTTTTAATAATGATGCACAATCGTTGCCACTCAGGGCATGGTAGCGCTTGATATACTAGATGGTAAGCAACGAGATCGCCTTCCCTAGTCATTTAAGAGGGGGGTGCAAAGTTAGCCCCATACATTGACATAATAGAAAAAGGAGGAGTGCTGCAACGACCCTTCACCCCCCCACCCCCGAAGGGAAACTCCGCGCATATCTACATGTACATCAGCCTTATTGACGCTATAGAATGTGATCGAAAAGGCAATATGGCACGTCATATTGCTGGTCTGATTGCTTATATCGACGGTAGTAGAATCTACCCTCTCCTGAAGTTGACGCTCACGCGACGTTTTCAAAGAAAAAGACGCATGGATGTACTGAGCCCTCAAGTCACACTGTCAAGTCGACAATGGCGTATTGGTCTCTAACAACTGCGCGGGGCTTGCGCCGTCTAGGTTCGACTGCAGAGCCTGGTGTACCCCAGCTCGGCGACTCCGGGCGCGCACCTGGACTCATTGGTGGAGCACACCGGGGGGCGCACCTGGCACGTCCACGAGTCCACCGTGGGAGACGAGCAGCGAGGCAGTGTGGCCACTCAGGCCGAACTCTACGAGGCCTTCTACTCGCTCCTACTGCGAGGATACTCCTGGGACGAGACCGACAACTACGTCATGGTACGCGTTGGTTGTCTAACAACGAATAGCCACGTCATTCAGTGCAACACTAAAGACATCGAGCCCGGGTGGACTCGATATCTATAGTGTTGCACTTCACCTTGTTATTTGTTCCTATAAAGCTTCATATAAATATCTGTGAAGTTCATATAAAGCTTGAATGATTGATTCGTTTTCTATGCTCGTAAAGCTATATACCTGCGGCGACCAAATGCTCCAGTTTATTTTCCGAGTCTATTATCTAATACTGAGATTCAAGAATATTGTCTAGGCATATCTCCTCTTTAGTTAAAGTATTTGTGCCATATACTTGTACAATTGCAAACAATTCCGTAAGAGGCTCATGTTCGTGTGATTGACCTTGTTTGCCACCCCTGTACAAAAATGTTTATCTTGTTACTGCTACTGTTTGAACCATAACTGCTTGTGCGTACTATATAGCATTACTCTATTTTATTTGTTCCGACAAAAGCCAATCATCCAGTCTGGGTCATTCTGTGTCATTGGTCGAGCCCATCTTCAGCCCAGAAGGCTTTGAAAGCTCTGCTGCGCTTATTGCGGACAACTGGCCTCAAAAACAGACTTTAGTGTCTTATACTCTTAGATGTCACCTCTCCTCTGTCGCTATTATTTTTGTAATTTCTCTCTTTCTTCATTCGCGACCTTTCTTTTTAACATCTTTCATTCCCCTCACCCCTTTCCCCAGCACAGGGTAGGCAGCCGGTCTAAGAACTGGCTAACCTCCCTGTCCTTCCGCTTAAACTTTCCTCCTCCTCCTGTTTTATTTACCCACTGTGGATCTTCTCTCCGTATGAGGAGACTAGCTTCGCCTCAGGCTTTTAGTTGCAGTTTTTCATTGCCTGGTGGCCCTCGCAATTCAAGTGCGAAATGCGTTCAATTCAATCGTCTGCAGATCGAGAAGCGCGAGTTCGGCGAGGCCGAGCAAGCGGCCGGTCCGCTGCTGCTCAACTTCGACATCGACCACAGCCTGGCTCGCCAGCTGCTCGTCGTGGTCGTCGGCTACGACTTCGGCAAGACCTCGCTGCCTTCCATCCCCCAGGAAGGGCTGGAGCTCATCGCGCCGCCCGGCTCGCCGCAGGCCAGCTTCCGCTACAACGACTACGCGTTCAACTTTGACTACGAGTTCTGGAGCTACACCTTCCGCATCAACGATCCGCCCGTGAGTGAAAACTTATACACTTGCGGTAATGAACGGTTGGGCGATTTAATTCTTACTTACGCAAAATGACGGAGTAACATCACTGCGCCGAATGGTGGTCTAGTGGCTATGGTACTCTGCTGCTGACCCGCAGGTCGCAGGTTCGAATCCCGGCTGCGGCGGCTGCATTTCCGATGGAGGCGGAAATGTTGTAGGCCCGTGTGCTCAGATTTGTGTGCACGTTAAAGAACCCCAGGTGGTCGAAATTTCCGGAGCCCTCCACTACGGCGTCTCTCATAATCATATAGTGGTTTTGGGACGTTAAACCCCACAAATCAATCAATCAATCAATCACTGCGCCGAAAAACAAGAGTGAACGAAAAGAGCAGACAACACGAGCGCTGACTTAGAACTGAGCTTATGAGAAGAAAAGGGCGGAAAAAAGAACCATATCAGATAGTACGCATGCGCGCGCACTTGCACAGACAGTTCCGGTCAAAACCACACAAAAAACAGACTACAACAATATCATTTCAGTATGACACCAGATATCTTTAGTAGAATGAATTCTCTATCCAGCAGACTCAGTGAGGATTGGCTGACACATGTCTTGCCGCAGGAGCTAAACATCGCAAACAAAAAAAAAAAGGACACGCAGACACACACACAAAACACTGATGATTCTCAACTGTTTTACTGCTTCGAACGCAAGGTTTTTTATGGCATGCATCAGAGCAACGAAAATGTGATTACATGAAATCTCTCGATGATAATGCTACCTGAAGCACTGTTGCCGGAAAGGGGTAACCAAGAAATGGCGGTCGTGCAGTCTGAAACTTCAAAAGTGTAGCGCACTCACGATATGCAGAGCGAAAATCACAAAAAAAGAAAGCTCAAATTATATATCCCAAGACCAGTTTAGAAGACCGGACCAAACAATCCACGGAAGTTTGCAAAATTACAAAAAAAAAGAACACGTGTTCAACGAATTCTGTTGAGAAGGTATGGGCTCCAAGTGATATATCTCCTTCTTTGAGAAGGAATGTGTAAATTTGTGCGAGTTTCGTATCTGTGTGTCTTTATGAGTTCCGTCTTTTTTGCGCCTTTAAACCTGTCGTGAATATTGTAGCTGCGCCTCAACCACAGCAAACCAATCACACACATTCAGTGCCGCACATTATCGATGAAATATTTTTTTCCCTCATGCAACAAACCTGTGGAATACCCTCCCCGACAATATTGTTTCGTCCACCGACCACATGACCTTTCGCAAAAAAATATCAATGCATAAGACCTAAATTTCTTTTGCTTACTTGTTTCCTTTATTAGAGATGCTTTTCCTTCCTTCAGTCTTCGTCTTTTCTTCCTTTTTCGGCGTTTTGTGTGATTAAGAATCCCTCATATATTGTTTGCCCCCGCCTTATGTAATGCCTCCGGGCCCTTAAGGCTTCAATACATGAAATGAAAATGTAGGAAACATGTTATTATGCTATTTATACTAGTGACTGTGGTCTACGGCACTCTGTAAGGGTATTCATCAAGCGAGACACTATCGTCAGCACAATCGAATATTCATGAAATATGTCGCTCCAGCTAGACAAAAATATATCTAAATAAGGGGCTTTGCAAGGTTTAAGTCGGCCATGGCTGCTGGAAAAGAAAAGCGTCGTGGAGTAACTTCGCTACAGAATGAAGCAATCTATCTGCTAACAAAAAGAAGAGAAAATGTCCACCATCTACTCAACACACTGTAATGAAATGGAAGCATCTTCACACAGCAAGATCCGTAGATGGCGTATATACCCTCGGAGGCATTGAAACAAATAACAATATTATGTTCTTGTTGGTTCAAATAAGCAAAAGTTTGCACAGGCCTATCATAGTATTTGTGAGAAAAAGGAAAATATTATGACCGGAGTACTTAAAGCTCAAACTAGCAGCACGTCATTGAAAATACAGCTTTGTACGAAGAAAGCAAAAATGATATAATAGAGAGGATAACTACGATGCTTAACTACAATCGATCTAATAGCATCTTGTTACAACGAACCGGTTAAGTGGCTAATCGCCGCTGGCCCGCTTTTAATAAAATACGGATAGAGATCGTACTCCTTATTATAATCATCACCATCATCGTCTTCTTTTCATTCGGTACGTCTGCATTATTAGCGTTATGAGTCAGTCTATGTACTAAACTATTTCCCTCCGTTTTTGTTTTTTTTTTCTTTGCGTCCTAATGTATATGTACTAGATGTCTGTATAAGGGAGAGTTAGCCAGCGCCGCTCGTGGCTACGGTGGGAGCTATCGCCATAGATTGCCGTCTTAAATTCGATTAAAAGGGCGTCCCGACACACGGCAAAACTTGTGCGTCCTATAGCTACGTATCAGAACGCGTGGCAGTGGCAGATATTTCAAGATCCTGACGACACGCTCATTTTTTCGTGCCTCCGGCGACCGAGACTCCGCAATGTCACTTATACAGGAGGGGGGCTCTTAGTAGATATATAAGTGTATAGACGTATACCTAGAGAGGTAGAGGGGGAGGGAAAACGTCGACTCGACTCGGGGACTCCTGTACCAAGGACTCGTTTCGCCAGCGCCCTGGCGACGATAAATCAACGTGACACGGCCGCCGCTCTCGATCTGCCCAATGTCTCGTTTCGGCGAGCTGTTCAATTGCTTCCTACTGGCGTTATATCCCCTTCCTCGCGCCGGAAATGACGCGAAGGCAAGCGAGAAATGGAATAGCACTGCTCAGCAGCAGCAGCGCCGCTAAAACAACGACAGGCCTCTTCCGAGGCTGAAGCCTTCGCGAGCTTACTCGGCGGCGTAGCAGCGCCAGATAAGTTCCAAAGCTAAGACTTCCTTAACTTCAGCTTCACTGGACTCGCTCTGTTTCTACGGGACAGCTAGGGGAGGGTTATCGCTTCGAGAATCAAGGGAACGTACGTGTGTTCTTTCGCGTGTACGTGTGGGAAAGGGGGACGGAAGGGGAGTGGATGCACGGGTGCACCGAATGATTGTGGGACACTCATTTATTTGGAATGTCCTTATTTGCCCTTGATGCTTTATCTTTTTTCTCTTCTTTCTTTCTTTCTTTCTTTCTTTCTTTCTTTCTTTATAAATACTTTTCTAGATTCCCCTTGCTTACATTGTTTTTCTTGCACTGCCTTGGTTATTTTTCTTACCAACGCCAAGTAATGAAGAAGTTTTAAGCGGGCACGAAATACGAAACGTTAGGTTGAGCTGGGCTAGGCTGGTAGATTACTCGACACGTCAAGAACGATAAAGCATCGCGTGGATTGTCTTTCGCGGGAGCATCGACCTCTAGGTTTATCCTTCTTTTCTGGCACTCTTGCGAACTTGCTCTTCATATAAAAGCTTCAGTGCAGCTTCTTGTCCGCACCATCAACCTCGTCCTCACCTATACGGTGCTCATCTACTGACCCGAAAGTTGTGAGTTCGATACCAGCACATGGTCTAAACTTCCGGAGCCTTGCGCTATGGCTCGACTTATAATTATGTCGCAATTTTAGTGGGCCCGTGCTCGTAAATTTACGTGCGCCTTGAACAACCCTTAGTCGTAGGAGTTTCCGAAGACCTCCGCTGCGACGTCTTTCATAATAAAATGGTGGGAACGTTGAAACCCAACCGATATTACATCATTAGACGTGATTATCGTCGAGTTTATCTTCTGCCACTCTCGCACAAATAAAAATATACATGCACAAATACTAATGTTCTCGAAAACGTGTATGCATAAATACTAATTAAACCTACCCCGCCATAGAATATATCTTGGCTTAAGAACTAATTTGGGTACCTTGGCATTGGTGTTGCCGAGCATGGAGGAAGAGCCAAGCGGGGCGACCGTTCTTAGCATTCTAGCCAAGCCTAGCCTAGGTGTAGTCTCTTCAGCCTAGACTCTGCCTAACCTTCACACTGTACAAACGTGCAGCCTTCGGATGCCCCAATTCCTGGTTAACCTCTTTGCCTTTCTCTCATTTTATTCTCTCTCTCTCTCCACTTAGACATAGCTAAATGACCATAGAGAGGGTCAGAGGAGCCTGGAAAAGCCAAGTTGATGCCTTCTATTTTTGTTTATATTATGTTTCTATCATACCGTTTGCCTACATGTCCAGTCATCCTATATAGCTAGCCACTGTTAACTTGAATGTGCATTGTTGGCTGTCCGCTGTTTTAAAAGCAACATTACGGGTTCGATCCTGGCTACAGCGACCGCATTTCAATGGAGGCGGAAGGCTATAGGCCTATGTACGATGTCAGTGCACATTAAAGAACACGAGGAGGTCGACATTTCCAGAGTCTTCCACTACTACGGCCTCCCTCGTTATCATACGGTGGTTTTAGAACGTTAAGTTAACATAACATTACGTGTCTTCCCCTGAAGTCAAACCAATTGTTGAGTTTTCCAAGCATTTTCTTCTTTTGCGTTCTTTCTTTGACGCCGCATGCTGCAAGCTCGCGGCGGCGACCGCATCTCCCGCGGCGCATGGCATCCCGCACAACCATGCACTCAGCAGCAGCAGCAGCAGCAGCAGCGCTGTGGACACTGTGATCCCGCACGCAGTCGAGCGGGCCCAGCTTTTCTACACGACGGATGGGGAAAAACTTTTCTGCGATTTTTCAGCCTTTAACCCCACGGGCTTCCACTTCCTGCATGCGATCCCTTCCCTCGCGACTCTGCCTAACCCTCGCACCGTAGAAACGTGCAGCGTTCGAGAACCTATAGACGCTATTCTCAACGTGACGTTCTTTTACAGCAAAAGCTGTTTGAGATCACAACTCGGGTCATGCGCGGCGCCGTAGTTGTCCGCCGCCGCCGCTGGTGTCCGTATCTACTACACGAAATAAGATTTTTAAAAAATTTAGTGCCAAGCACACAGTGAGACGCCAACCCGGGTCCGATGCTTGCCAGCCCAGAATTCTACCAGCGAGCCACGCCGGTGCTTGGGACTTGCTCGCAAACTTGCCTTAGGCAGGCTTGATGCTGGGAAAG